GTAGGAATAAATGAGTCTTTATCGGGCTGACAGGATTTCATGAGTGTGTGTACCACAGGGGCCTGTGTATGGACCCCAATCCTTTACAATTAATATAAATAATTTGGATGAAGGAACCAAAGGTTTGGTAGTTAAATTTGCTGATGACCCAACAATAGGAGGGAAAGTGAATTATGATAAGGACATAGGGAGCCTCCAAAGGGTTACAGATAGGTTAAGTGAGTGGGCAAAAATTTTGTAAATGGAATCCAATGTGGGAAAGTGTAAAAATATCCATTTTGGCAGAAAAAACAAAACAAGAAGCATATTATCTAAATGGTGAGAGGCTGCTGAGCTCTAAGATGCGGAGCGATCTGCGTGTCTTAGTTCATAAATCACGGAAGGTTAGTATACTGGTACAGCAAGTAATCAGGAAAACTAATTTATGGTTTATTGTAAGGGAAATTGAATGCAACAGTAAGGAAGTTATTCTTCAGTTACACGGGGCATTGGTGAGACCTCATCTGGAATACAGTGTACAGTACCTGTTACTGCATTTCCAAAAGGATGTTAATGTGTTAGAAGTAGTTCAGAGAAGATTCACTAGGCTAAGGCCAGGAATGCGCGGAGTGCCACCTTAGGGAAAGTTAAACAGGCTAAACCTGTGTTCTCTGGCATTTAGAAGAATCAGAGGTGACTTCATTAAAGCGTGTAAGATCCTAAGGACATTTGACCAGGTGAATGTTGAAAGGATGTTTCCTCTTGTGGGAGAATCTAGAACGAGGGGTAATAGTTTCAAATAAGGGGGCGCAACAGAGATGAGGAAACATTTGTTTCTGAGGATTGAGTCTTTGGAATTACCTTTTTCAAAGGCAGTGAATGTTTCAAATATTTTTTAGGGCAGAGGTAGAAGATTCTTGATTACCAAGGGATGAAAGATTCTTGGGGATACGCAGGACTGTAGAGTTGAGGTTAAAGTCAGAGCATCCATTATCTTATTGAATAACAAAGTAGGTTTGAAGGGCTGATTGGCTTACTCTTGTCTTTGTATGAAGTTAATGGGCATATTGGCTTTTTGCTGTGTCTTTTCTTTTTGGCTCACTGGACCCAAAATAGCAAGTCTCTGCTCTGCTCTGAACGTGTTGGATATGCCATGTCCCATTGCAGCTCTATTCACTTCAGTGGGAGATACTCTTCAAGCAACTTGAAAAATACTGTGCCATTAAGTGGAAACGTAAGAAAGCAAGCCCATCATGAACTTCTGTTGTATGGATCCCAATAAATTAAACAATTTAATTCTCACTGTATGGAATTGTGCAAGAATAAAATTGTTCCAATTACCCTTTGGTTTTACAGATTTCCAAGTAATCAAGTACTTTTTTGTTTATGTAGTATAGAGTTCATTGGAAAGAAAGCCTTGTATTGATATTCCAAAGATACCAGAATCTCTCTTCCCCGAGCACTCTTGATAGGAAATTGTAAGAGGCTAAACCCTTTTACATTCACTTGCAGTTCTTTTAGCATTAATTGTCTAGTTTACCCTTGAATTTTATTTTAATGAATCAAATCACTTCTGTGCGGAATAAAAAATTTTCTGAGTGTAGATTACTTTAAAAGAATGATGCAGATTTGCTGAACAAGTAGAATGTAGTGCAAAGACTTTTGTAATTTCTGAACTGCAGTTGCTGGAAGTTTTGGTCTAAGCCTTGGCGATTTATTGGGGTGCAGACGGAACATGGGCTGCAGTTTTGGTGACATACGTTTTGCTATCTTTTCACCTGCACAGGTGAACACTTCCACTCTGTGACCCTCTGAAACAGAAATTGTGCATCTCGCGTGAGCTTTTGCTCTGCTTCAGCTTCGAATCTGGGGACACTCCAAGGAGATGAGGAAATTATTTTATCAAAGCCTGGAAAGGATCACCATCCTTCACGGAGGTTCCTTGGGGCCTGAGAGCTGGTCTGTTCTCTGTTACACACAGAGACAGGATTCCAGGGCTTGTGTCAGCTGTTGCCAGGCCGCAGTTCACGCTGATGTGTCATTTTAACCACAGGCAGGGCCTCGTGGCCCGGGAGCTGTTCAACTCAATTCAGCCTTGCTGCCTGCCAGCACTTTGGCTGGCCATGGTCTAACCAAGCTCCTCACTGCCCTCCCTCAAGGCTGGGAATCCCTTTGTGCTGGTTTCCAGTGCCACATAGGGGGTGAATCTTTAAGTATGTTCTACTTTATAGATGCAATTTTTTTCACATGATGAGTTGGTGGCAGGGGGAGAAAAGAAAGAAAAGTGTGAAATTAAGGCACTGCGTATTTTATTAGAGCTTCCCATAACCCTCCACAATGTTGCTCTTCCCAGTTTGATGCTGAGTATCACATTGTCTGCCGATACTTTTGGTTTCAAATTGATATCTTTACTTAGATTCAGCATTTGAGTACACATTGTGTCAGATCTTCAGCCTGTATTCCAGCTACATCTTGCTTGGACTTGAGCAAAAGCATAAAGTTTTCTGCTAGTTTTGTAACCCTCTGCTTTGTAGAAATTTGGACAAGTTACTCAATTTGCCTTGGGGAGAAAGGGCTCATCGAGGGTTGTGGAGCAAGGCTTCAGTAAACTTGTATCAGTTTTTAAAATGAGCATTTAACCTTTAAGCCATGGAAAATAGAACCTGTCTCCATGAACTGAATGCCTTGTGCAGTTCTAGCTTCCAACTTCTGTTTTTGTTTGTTGAACATTTATACTTGCATTTTCACCGTAGCATCTTCTACCACATGCGCAGGAGATTTCCTTCCACCATTTGTGTTCTCATCTGAGTTAAGATTGCGAGCACGTGCTTAACCCAGCAGTTGTATTATTCCTGCACTGGGGGGTTTAGTTGGTCATGCAGCTGCAATTTATGGAGACATTTAACCTCCTGAACGGGAAGATTGCGGGGAGTGGAATGGAATGGACTAGACAGAAGTATTGGAGAAACTCAGGCTTTACATTGTGGTTGAAAAGCAGAATGCTGCAAATGCTGGAAATCTGAAATAAAAACAGAAAATGCTAGAAAAATACTGAGCTGGTCGACAACAGTTGTACAGAGAGAGATCTGTAGGAGCAGCTTAAGAAGGCAGTTCGCCACCAATTTCTTGAATGTAATTAAGAATGGGCAACAAATTTTGGCCACACCAGTGAAAGAATAAAAAAAATTAAGACTGTTTAGGGATTAATTGATCTGCTTATTGCTTTTGTTTGTGTATATATTTGCAGGTTTTGCGGGGAATATGTGCCAGATTGACATTGATGAGTGTGCCAGCACACCATGCCAACATGGAGCCAAGTGTATTGATCGTCCAAATGCTTTTGAATGTGATTGCAGTGAAGGTAAATCAGGTTGATGCTCAAAGTACTGGAAATGAAACTAAACATCTACAGCGTTTGAACGTTTGCGCTCGAGGATTGCTTTGATAAGTTACCTTGCCTTGTAATTACCCCACCTTTTCTGGCCTCCGACGACCAATCCCTTTTCTGTCAACCCCAGCTGAGAAAATAATGATGCTGTGGAAAAGGCTGCTAAGCAATGGCTGTTCAAATGTTTGATATCAGGCAGCTGAGGGCTCCACGTTCAACCTCTCCCCAGATCATTGCTCACGTTCGAAAAGAAACTCGAGTTTCTTCTTTGCTGTCAAAGAAGGTTACTCCTCTGCTTTTACTGATGCTTTCAGCCATTGATAATTAGTGCAATGCATTTCAGCATTAGATTACTTGTCCTCAGGACACTTCTGAGTAAAAATAACTTGCCCACATTCGCTTTTAACTGTCTGTTTTTCAGCCTGTGCATCCTCAGGGGGCTCTCCAAGTCCTTGTTGCCCTTTACAATGACTACTGTCACTGTTGGATCCAAGGCAAGCTGCTTAAAGTTTGTGGCTTTACGTTCCCAAGGAAGGTTTTGCACCAATCTGTCATGTGCTTCTTCTTCAGTTTTTTTTGGTTAACCAATTCATCAGTGATGTACAAAATGTTTGGCAGTTCGAGCAAGTGTTGTGGTTTTGTGGGTAGGAAAGAATATTTGGCACAGCAAGTTACTTGTCGCTCAGGTGCAAACACATTCTGGTTCCAGAAGACGTTGCAGTCAGTTAAATTTTAGCCGGTGGCTATTTGTAAAAAGTTTTTGAACTTCTGAGAAATACAGAATAAAAATATAATGGATTGGAAAATTAAAGGTGCTTCTTTTGCCTTTCTCTTGTACTCTTTCCCCCCCCAAATTCTCTTCATCACCCCCTTGATTTCAAAGGCTTTACGGGAACTACCTGCGAGATTAATGAGAATGATTGCGACCCGGATCCCTGCCACTATGGAACGTGTGAGGATGGAATTGCCGGGTACACCTGCAACTGTAAAGCTGGTTACAAGGGTCCAATCTGTAGTGAGCAGATCGATGAATGCCAGAGTAGTCCATGCCAGAATGGTGGCACCTGCCAAGATCGTGTGAACAACTACATATGCCGCTGTCCTGTTGGCACCTCCGGTAGGTAGCAAAGATGTTGGACGAAATGGTCCCCTTTTAGTATAGAAAAATTGGCAGCGGTCCACGGCTGGCTGATCACAATCCCCAAACTCCCCACCCCACCATGTCACTTGGTAGGATGTGTTTTTGTGAACCACTGTTAATAATTAATATTAATCCATGCTGGTGAGTCAGGAAACAAAGTAGTGGCTGTTGCCTAGGCACATTTCAAATTTGGAAGTGCAGAATCATTAACAGTGATAACTGCATAATAATATTTTGATGTTTCAGAATTTTTAGTGACTGTTACTAATAGGTGATGCAGCAATCATGGAGGAACTTCCACATAATCATACATGAGTGATTGCACTCATCACAGTTGAATCATTTGATCTTGCTAAATGCTTCACTGTAAAACAGCAAGCATTAAAAAAAAAACTTCTATTTGAATGATCCTGCAGGTGTCAATTGTGAGATTAACTATGATGACTGCGCGAGCAATCCATGTAGTTACGGAAGCTGTCAAGATGGTATTAATCGGTATGACTGTGTATGCAGCCCTGGCTATACAGGTAAGTTCAGGTCCTGTAAAGGGACTGAATAAAGACTTGGGTTGTCATACCCTGTAGCCCTGCTTCCTAACTTGTGCGCAACTTTTCTCAAGATGCTTACATTTCCATTTTGAAAAACGTTACAGCGTTGGTGTTGTTGGTAATCTATTTATCAAAGGTATGAAACACTCAAAACTGGTTTTGGTTGGTGAACCAGATGTTGCATTAGCCCAGTGCTTTTCCAAAATCAAGAGTTACCAAAGAACCTTGCAGCATATTTGAAGGGGAGGCATTTTGTAACGTTGGAAGCATGGCAGCTGATTCACAAACAGCAGTTTGATAATGCCCAGATAATCCATTATAGTTGTTAGTCAAGGAATAAGTATTGATCAGGACAATGGGAGGAACTTGCCTGCTTTCACTTAAAACAACATTGTCACAGGATTCTCGGCATAAGTACGAAAAGGTAGGATGGGATCTTGCTTTAACATCTTTAAACTCACAACCTTCTGACTTGAAGGGGCAGTGCTGACACAACTGACACCCAAGCTGGCAAAGACCAGGAATTCGTTTGAAAAATCAGAATAGAATAGGATTTCAGGATCTTGACAACTTTACAGAATAAAAATTGGACCTCAAACATGAACAAATATATATAGGGGACATTTGGGTCCACGGGAAATGAATACAAGAGTAATTTTGGAATGAAGTCTGTGGAAATGAGAGAATGAAATAGACAAACCAACTCCTTGTTATAAAACAAAACACTCAGGTGCTGATATTCTGTGCAAATACCTTTGGTATCCATTCCATATCCAACTGCTATTCCCAAGTGGACAGCAGTAGCGCCTTTCAAGGCCATGTGATTTCATCTAGAATCTATGTATCTTCAAATTTACAGTGTTCACTATTCATTATCGATCCTCTCCATGTTGCTGAAGCTTTGGTACAATGCACAGGGTAGCCTTTTCTTGATAGAGCTTGTTTCATGCATTACAGGAACTGTGTTCACAAATCCAGTTGTTGGAGTGGGTGATATCATGGAAACTGCAATGTAATTCACTTAACTCCAGTGTTTCAAAATTCTGTTTCTGTTACAATGTTGATGACAGCTAGCCGAGCAGCAATCAGTGAGTTTGTTGCTTCTGAAGGAACAGTTGGGGAGGGAGCATGGTTGGGATGAAAGTGAGTTCCGTTGCAGTGAAATCATAAATCTGTTCATTATAGACAGGTTCAAAGCAAACAGGAAATCTCTCACTCGCTCTCTCTCTTTCTCACATTTTTTGGTTTATTCATTCATGGGATGTGGTATCATTGGCTAGCCCACCATTTATTGCCCATCCTTAACTACTCAGAGGCAGTTTTTGTGGGTCTGGAGTTGCATGAATGTCAGACCAGGTAAGGATGTCTGTTTCCTTCCCTAAAGGATATAAGTGAAGCAGATGGATTTTTCTGACAATTGATGACCATTCCAAGGTCATCATTAGACTCTTAATTCCTGATTTTTATTTAATTCAAATTTCACTATCTGCCATAGGATTAAAACCCAGGTCCCAGAATATTACCTGGGTCCTTGAATTAGTACTCTAGCAATAATACCACTACGCCATCATCTCCGCATCTCACACACTTGCGTTCTGTCTCTCATGCATATATCCTGTCTCTTTCGTTCACACTGTCCATTGCACACACACACTCTCACGTGTATAACAGACCCACTTGCGATTTGCTGTGCTTTTTGAAATCCTATTTCCTAATTGGAATGAGTAGGAAACAAAGTGGGAAATGGTGGTTAAGATATTGAAGGGGCAATTCTTAAACCTGTGTATGGCTGCTCATTCATACATTTTTCCATTCGTGCCTGCAGGTCCCATGTGCAACATTGACATCAATGAATGTGCATCCAACCCATGTCACAATGGAGGCACGTGTTTCGATCATATGAATGGCTTCACATGCCGCTGCCCTGAGGGCTTCCATGATCCTCACTGTATATCGGAAGTCGATGAGTGCAAGAGTAGCCCTTGTATTCATGGCAAATGTGTGGACGATGTCAACAGGTGATTCATCATAACCTTTTGTCCATCGTAAATTTTGTCTTTCTTAGTTCTTTCATTTTCTGTTTCTTTCTAAGATGGTTACATTTGGCCTTCTGCATTTTTTTTGTCAAATTGTTGTGGCTATTATCAAAGACTCCTATGCAGACAAAGGGAACTGTGCAGGATGGTGAGAGTGAACAGAAATCTGATGTGTTGCTCACAGTGGAGTTTGGGTTCCTCCTCTTGATAGGCCTCTAGGAATCACCAGATGTCTATGCGGATAGGTACAGATATGATTTGGTTTGGCCTTTTAACCACTGAGCCATTATGCTGTCCATTGAATGGTTTAGTTGCATGAATATTGTTAATTCACAGCATGACTCATTGAATTAAGAGGACATGTCTGGAGAATACCTGTCCAAGATTGCAAAGTAAATTGGCAGTATGAATAAACAGTTGAGCGCAAAATGGAGGTGTTCATAATGTCTGTGTTAGAACTCTTGGATTTTTGAGGATAATCCCTAGGAGGCCATAACTTGAACCCAGACCCTTCCAATTTTATTTTTGGAACCTGATGTTTTCCGTTTGTTTATTTCCCTACAATTGAATTGATTGTTGAAATTGTAACTTTTAAGTACAGTGAACAAGTCTGCACAGTTTACGTTCTATTAGCCATTAATGAGTAAATAAGTGCTAATATAGGCTGTACAGGTGAATTCCAGAGTGACATGTTTGGAATCTCCCTCCAACTTTGTACCTTTACTCGGCACCAAAGGTCATTCATGGCACAGTAATTTTATTATGATGAACATTCTTCAGAGATCAGTATTTTAAAAGAAAAGTTAGAACTGAACTATATTTTCTGTGAATTCAGGTGCCGTCCCAAAGTCAGTTTTTTGCCCTTTTTTTGGGATATGGCTATCGCTGGGAAGGCAGGACCAGCGTTTGTTGCTCATCCTTTAATTACCTTTGAAGTGCTTGATATGTGAGCACCGTTGAGGTTCACCCACATTGCTGTGGGTCTAGGGTTACATGCAGTAGATTTCCTTGACTAAATAATGCTAGTAAACCAGATTGTCGTAAAAGAGAAACAACCGGCCGTGGCTTCATTACTGTAACTGGCTATTTTTAAATTCCAGATCTGTCATTTAAATTCCGCTAGTTCTTGTAGTGGGATTTAAACCCAAGTCGCCAGACCGTTCACCTGGACCACTGGATTAGTAATCCAGTGACATTACCCCCAAAGTACTTTTGAAGTGTTATGTTGTCAGAATCGTGGCAACCAGTTGCCACACGGCAAGTTCTCACAAGCATCAGTGAGATAAAGTTGAGCGATGTGGAGTGTAAACTTGTGAAAATATTGTCAACTTATTTGCAGGGCTCCCCTCTCTGCTTGGTCGGTGTGGCTAATTGTAATAAGGGATTGTGTCAGTGCCTTGCCTATGACCAACGTTTTCTCTACTTTTTCTTGTTTTTGCAGTTACCAGTGCGTTTGTGAAGCTGGTTGGGCAGGAATCAACTGTGATGTGGACAAAGACGAGTGCGAGTCAAATCCTTGTCAGGAGGGAGGAACCTGTGAGAACCTAATCAATGGCTATAAGTGCACATGTGTGAAGGGATTCAAAGGTGAGTGAGGGACAGTTGAGCACTGAATGGGTGAATGACACGAGTGAGGTTCTGTGCAAAGCTGAATATTAAACTTACTGACTTTGAAACTCAGAACTACACTCTCCTGGTTAAAATTGTGCAGCAGTTGCACAGAAGACCATTCAGCCCATTTGTACCTATGCCAGCTCTTTGAAAAAGCTATTCAATGGATCCCACAACCTCATCTGTTCCCATTATTCTGCAAGTGTGTCCCCTTTGAGGCTCTCAATATCAGAAGGGGTGCTCCATAGGTAAAGGATTTTAGTGTTTTTCTGAAGCAATTATCTTGTCCAGTTGGGCGTCATACTTGATCCCATAGACCAAGAATGACTGACAGATTTGACATGTTTATTAATGGGTTTTTGTTTTGAAGAAATAAACACATCCTTCAATTTTTATTTTGTTTGATGTGTTTGTCTATTTTATGCTGCCGCCTATCTTGAGTAAGCCATTCTGTCGATGTGATGAAGTCCCTAAAAACCGGCCCTAACTCTGGTTAATTCAAAATGAGATTTGAGGACAATTAAGCAGCGAGGATTTTTTTTCTTTCCTGAGCATTTTTGTTTTGAAATGTCTGCCCCTCCACTGTTTTGTGAGCCTCATGCTGTCGCCCACCATCAGTGAAATCTGTGTCTGGGTTGATAGAGCTGCATTGGGTGCCAACCCAAATGCTGGATTTCTGACATTGTGGATGGGCGCTTCCCAGTGCGCTTGCAGAAAGATATCATTGGACTAACTGGTGGTCACTTGTGATAGGCACTAATCTTTCGCCTCAAACTTTAACAATTCAGATGCTGCCATCTGACTTCCGGCTCCGAGGGCGATTTAGAATATTCTTGAGTAGTCTCGACTTTTTATTTAAATTAATCACTCTTGTGGTGTGGATATTGATGGAGGGACCTGCATTCATTCCTCTCCCTAGATTCCCTTCCTACCACCACCATCAAAACAGCTGCAGTCCATTTGGTGAAGGAAGCCCTAAGTTGCAGTGAGGGATGAAGTTCCAGGATTCTGACCCAGCAATAACGAAGAAGTTCATTTCTAACTATAAAATGGATGGGCCATGGGAGGGGAGCTCAAGGTGGTCTCAAGTGTCTGGTGCCCTTGTGCTTCAATGTCGTGAAACTTGTGGGTTTGAAAGACATACCCTGAGAGTCTTAGCGAGGTGCGGTGATGCATCCTGTACCTCGCACACGCTGCATCCGTTGTATATCGGCGGCGGAGGCTTTGAATGTTGAGCCATGTGAATAGTGTGCCGATCATTGCTGTTTTGCAGGAAGTTCGACCAGTTCTAGCCCCTTGTGAACATGGTCCACGGACTAAAACTGTCCCACATTTTCCCCCAGTTGGCAGTCTTACTCATCAAAGCTCCAAGAATCTGGTTTGGAAATAAGAGGAAAAATGTCGCATTGGCGGGCTGCATTTCTGATGTCAGGTCAAAGGCATGCTACTGGGGTGGAATAATGGCCTTTTTTTAGCCTGTATCTACCCTGCCTATGCTAGGCCCCAGTTGTAATATCCTGGTCAGGGTGCCTTGAATGACAAAAATTTCATTACCAAAAGTTAACATCCATTATGTCGCTGAATACCAGCAACAAAACTGAATAAAGGAGTAACCTTCTTTCCCCTCTTTTTCTGAATTCTGAGGCTCCGACTGTCAAATCAACATAAATGAATGTGCGTCAAACCCCTGCCTGAACAAAGGAGTCTGCGTTGATGGAGTGAATTCCTACCACTGTGTCTGCTCTCTCCCGTACACTGGTAAGTGTCAAAAAACAAAGGGGCACAATCTGGAATGATGCATTTTCTGAGGTGGCCTGTTGTGGTTGAGGTGGGGAGCTGCTGACTTTGCCTTCTCCTGTGCTATGCTGAAGAGACCGCAGTGAAACAGAGAAGTGTCGGGACTGAACAATGAACTGAGGCTGTGCATTAAAAATCAGTGTTCCATGGAGGTGTGTGCATGTTTTGGGTTTGTGTGCACGAGTATCTGTTTCAGAATTCAGCCTCGCCTCCTGCCAGAAGCAAAGTGTGTGCCACGGCGACCTTTTGAGTTATTGCCTAATTAATAGGCCAGGCTCGTAAGTATCAAATTTCCACATCAAACAGTCTCAAACTCCTGGTGCATTTTTTATTAGTTTCATTGTGTGTGAACCAAATTCAGTTCTGTGAATTCTCTTGGAGCAAGTGGAAGATTAATATCAGGATAAGACATACCAGGATAAGTGAGAAAACTGCTGATTTCCTTTGTTTGTCTCCTTGCCCCATCTCAACCCCCACACACACCACCAGCCCTTGATCATCTGGTTTAGCACAGTCTGTAGGTGCAGCCAAATGGATTTGATATATCCAGCTCATGCATTTCTGTCTTGCAGCTCTGCCCACTGATTGGTCAGGAAAGGGCTTCCATTTTTATTGGATCCAGGATATTCTGTGTATATCTATCGCTGGTGAATAAACTGCAGCTGTCCTGCAAAGAATGGTGTGCTAATGAACAGATTCTAATCCTATTATGCTATTTGGACAAAGTTGCAGGTCTATGAGGAATAGGTGGGGTTACTAGCTGAGTTCCTTCCGTACTGTAGTTGTTCTTTGACAATCATCATCATTATCATAGACATGCTACAGTGTGGAAACAGGCTGTTTGGCCCAACAAGTCCACACTGCCCTTGTGAAGAGCATCCCACCCAGACCCATCCCCCTACCCTTTCCCTATAACCCTGCATTTCCCATGTCTAAGCCACCTAATTTACACACACCTGGACACTACGGGCAATTTAGCATGGCCAATCCACCTAACCTGCACATCTTTGGATTGTGGGAGGAAACCGGAGCAAACCCATGCAGAAATGGAGAGAATGTGCAAACTCCACACAGACAGTCACCCACGGGTGGAATCGAACCCGATTTCCTGGCGCTGAGGGGCAGCAGTGCTAACCACGGAGCCACTGTGCTGCCCACCTTGGGATATTTTATGTCTATCCAAGGGGACAGCTCAAGTGATGGCTCCTCTGGCTCAGCAGCTGGAAGTGTCAGCCTAAATGAGGCATGGTGGCACAGTGGTTAGCGCTGCTGACTCACAGCACCAGGGACCCAGGTTTGATTCCAGCCTCGGGTGACTGTCTGTGTGGAGCTTGCACGTTCTCCCTGTGTCTGTGTGGGTTTCCTCCGGATGCTTCTGTTACCTTCCACAGTCCAAAGATGTGCAAGTTATAGTGGATTGGCCGTGACAAATTGCCCATAGTGTCCAGGGATGTTTAGGTTAGTTGGGTTAGACATGGGACATTAGGGGAATCGGTCTTGGTGGGATGCTCTTCAGAGGGGCGGTGTGGACTTGTTGGGCCGAATGGCCTGTTTCCAGACTGTAGGTTTCTATTAAAAAAAAAAAATTCTGAAGTGATGTTTGATACCATGACCTCGGCTCAGTTGGCTCACAGTGCCAGGGACCCAGATTTAATTCCACCCTCGGGCAACTGTCTGTGTGGAGCTTGTATGTTCTCACCGTGTCTGTGGGTTTCCTCCGGGTGCTCCGGTTTCCTCCCACAGTCCGAAGATGTGCATGTTAGATAGGTTGGCCGTGCTAAATTGCCCATAGAGTCCAGGGGTGTGCAGGCTAAGTAGATTAGCCATGGAAAATGCAGGCTTTCTGGGATAGGGTAGAGGGGTGGGTCTGGTAGGGATGTTCTTCAGAGGGGCGGAATGGACTCGATGGGCCAAATGGGCTGCTACTGCACTTTAGGGGTTCTGTGATTCTCTAATTCAGGTGGGTGTGTTATCCACTGAGCCACGCTGACACTCTTAGGATTGTGATCTTTGGTATCTTGTGACTGTTCTTAAAGTGTTAGCACTGGCCGTCAAGTCTGCTTCTTATTTTTAGTTCACACTGCCACCTGGTTAACGCTGCTTGCTGTCCATCCTTGCCAGTCTCCTTGGAGCAGATATCTAACTCCCTTGAAATAATATTTGTCAATTGTGTTTCCATTGTTACAGCAGATAAGTCTGTTTGTGACTATTTCAGTCTGACTTCTTTGATGGGAAAGGTAGCTCAAGGTCTTTCCCAAGCGTTCTGGAGGTGCAATTTAGAGTTATTTTTAAACCATAACATTGCACTGCACACTACTGCCAAGTTATCTCGCAGACTGTTTTCAAACTTTCTGGTACATTGTGTATATTTCTGATTAGTTTTGTGCCCTGTTTTGCAGCTCTGGTGAGGCTGGTGTTTGGACACTCCCTCTACACTTAGCCCACCATGGCTATTGCAGTTTTAAGCCCTCAAAACTGTTCACACTTTCTCGTAGCCTGTCTAACTCCTCTGAATCATCCACAACAGCCGCCTTTTCCCCCTCACCCCCTCCCATATTGCCACCAGGACAGCCACAAAGTGACTGGGACCGAAAGTTTTGTGTTCTTGTTACTAGGAAGTCATTTTGGTTCATTGTGTCTATGGGTGCTCTGTTTCAAAAACCTATTCAATTCCTGCCACTCTTCCTACTCTTGTCCATAGTGGCAGCACTGGTTACTGACCCTGTTGTCAGTGGAAACAGATTCTCCTTGTTCACTTCATTAAAATCACTCATTGTCTCAAAAGCTTTAATAAATCTCCACTGAATGCCCTTTGCTTCGAGGAGAATGATTGCAGCTAAAGCAGGGGTTGCCCAGATAATCTTGCACAGGGTTTCCTTGCAGGCAGGGTTGTTTAGAGAGTACTCATGTTGTTGGTACAGTTTGGATCTGGCCTGACTCTAATAGATTCCTCCTCCTTTCCTCCCTTTCCCTGCAGGTAAGGATTGTGAGTTTGTTCTTGCTCCGTGTTCCTCCCAGCCATGTGAAAATGGAGGTATATGCAACGAAACTGAGGACTATGAGAATTACATGTGTACCTGCACGATGAATTGGCAAGGTGAGGTGTTACTCATCAGCATGTTGTGAAAAGGAGTAGGCCAGTCAGCCCCTCTGGCCTGTTCTGTCTTTCAGTTAAATAACGTCCAGCCTATTGACACAACTCTGTTTTCCTGCCATTGCTCCATATCCCTAAATACCGTTACCCACAAAATTCTATCAGTCCCAGGTCTTGAAAGCTCCTGTTGACCAGCCACACCATTTGATAAAGAATTGTCCAAGTTTCCTACTGCCCTTCTTGTGAAAAAAGTGCTTTGAATTTGCGCCCAGAATGTGTAGCTGTAGTTTGAATATCGTGAGCCTTTGTTCTTGAATTATTGAACCGGTTTCTCTCCATTTGATCCAATCAACTCAAACCTCAATGCCCCCCACACCCCAAAAAAAAAATGGCATGCCTGCAAAGTCGATACTATTTCAGCATGTGATTTAACCTTTTTTTAACCCTGATAACATTTGAACTCAGTGCATCAGGTGGTGTCTTATGCAACTGAGACACAGAAACTTTCCCCCATCCCATTGTGAAAAACAGACCAGGGTGGGTGGGCAGTGATTAATGGTGGAGCAATTCATGCACCCTTCATAATCCTGTGGAAGTCTTTAAAATAATGACAGGTTTTTATAGGGGTAGGCAAAGAGAAAATGTTTCCACTTGTAGGTGAGTTGAGATACAATGAGCTGTAAATCCATAGATATAAAGGGCTTGGTCATAAACTCATCAGGAATCCGGTAGAGGGTTTTTCATCCAGTTATTATTTTTGAATGTGCAACTCAGTACCACATGGAGTAGTTGAGGCAAATGGAATAGGTGTTTTGAAGGGAATCATAAGTACATAAGGGATAAAGGAATAGTGGGCGTTATTAATTGGGTTAGAAGAGGAAAACTTTGTGCTACATGAACAGTACAGTCCATTGGGCCGCCGCATGGCCTGCTTTTAGTGCTGTAGCTCCTATTTAATTCTCTATACACTGCAAACTAAAACAACACACACATACAGTCGTACACAATGCAGTGCATATGTTTAATACTTGCTTACCTTGTAGGTCAGAGATGCTCAGTGGACGTTGATGAGTGTGTTACTGATCCATGTAAAAATGGTGCTTCTTGTCAAAATACCCCTGGGAGCTACGAGTGCCAGTGCCTCCCTGGCTACATTGGAGCGAACTGCGAGACAAATGTCGACGATTGCAGCCCTAGTAAGTGCTTGAAAGACAGATTAAAAAGAAGCTGTCCGAACCTGATTCCTCATTTCCTGTTTGTAGGAAAGAACTTGCGTTTCAATCACCAGCTCAGGAAGTTCCAAAGTGCTTTATTGCCAATAAAGGACTTTGTGAAATGTAGCTGCCATTATTTTATCATCTTTATTCTTCCATGAGATGTGGGCACTGCTGACAAGGCCAGCATTTTATGTTCCCCTTTCCTAATTGCCCTTGCACTGAATGGCTTGCTCGGCCATTGCTGAAGGCAGTTAAGAATTAACCACATTGCCATTGGAGTCACATACACGTAAGCCAGGCTGGGTAAGGGTAGCAGATTTCCTTCCTGAAAAGACATGAATAAAGCAGATGGGTTTTTATAATAATCAATGATCATTTCATGATCACCATTACTGAGACTTGCTTTTAATTCCAGATTTTACTGATTTGAATTCAATCTGACCAGCCGTCCTTGTGGGATTGTAATGGAGGATAAATGGTAGCCAAGTTGCACAAAGCAAGATCTCAGGTTGAGGCAGAATAATCTGTTTTAATGATGAAAGAAAATTATTGACCAGAGTATCCCCAATGTTCTTAAGGATAGTGCTGCAGGATCATTTACATCCACCTGGGGAGGGCAGACAATGCCATATTTTGATGTTTGATTCACAGCGTAGCACCTCTGACTGTGTTGCACTCCCTCAGTATTTCACTGAACAGTCAACCTAGGGCCCGGATTTTGTCCTTAAAATCTTTATAATGGGCTTAAGCACCACAACCTGTCTGCTTCTGAGGCAGGAGTGCTGCCTACTGAGCTGTGACTTGCTCAATTATTTGTGCTCCTGTAAATTCTTGCTTTTGGGGAGGCCAGGTCAACTTGCGTTCTAATTCCAGTGTGACGTGATGATTTCGCAGATCCATGCCAGAACGGAGGTTCCTGCATCGATGGTGTCAACACATTCTCGTGCAGCTGCCTGTCGGGGTTCACCGGTAGTAAATGCCAGCAGGAGATAAATGAGTGCTTGAGCAACCCGTGTCTGAATGGCGGGAACTGCTCTGATTATGTCAACAGCTATGTCTGCAAGTGCCCTGAAGGCTTCAATGGGATTCACTGTGAAAACAACATGCCGGACTGCACAGAAAGGTAAGATGAAGGAAGGACTTGCATTTATATCACACCTTTCTTTCACCACCTCATGGTATCCCGAAGCACTTTACAGCCAATGAAGTATTTTTTTTTAAGTGGATTCATCGTTGTAGCGGCTAATGCGCGCACAGCAAAATCCCACAGAGACATTACCGGGCTCATGGGCATTTTTAATTATATCGGCCAAGGACAAATGTTGGCCAGGACACAGGATTTAACTCCTTTGCGGCTCTTCATATAATTTCACCAGATACCTTATGGCCATAAGTGAGGGCAGGTAGGGCTTTGGTTCGGTGCCTCACCTACAAGACAACACCTCCAACAGTGCAGCACTCCCCCAACATTGCTCTGAATGGTAGCCTAGGACATACCCTCAAGTCTCGAGTGGGGATTGAACCAATCGTCCACTGACTCAGAGGTGATAGTGCTACCCACTGAGTGATGTCCAATACACAGAGGCAGGAGAAAGACAGGGTCACATTCAATGCAAGTAATTATTCTTTAAAATCCTTGAAATTTGCTTGCTACAAAATATCAGCCAAATTGCAGCCCAATTTGAAACACCTCATTGTAGCCCAGCTCTTTGTTTTTAAAAGAAGTAATATTGTTAAAGGAAATCTAATCTGTCACTTTCCTTAAGCAATGCTCAGTTACATAGAAACACTTGGTGCTTTGCACAAGCTTGGGTGATAATCATGTGAAAGCAAAAAATACTGGAAAATCTTCAGCAAAATTTTTGGTCTGGTCTTCCAGGTATTTTTGTTTCATTTGTTCATGGAATGTAGTCCAGAAGAGTTTCCCTCCCTAACGGACATTAGTGAAACAGATGGTCATCAGAAGACTCTTAAATTCCAGATTTTTATTGAATTTAAATTCCATTATCTGCTGTGGTAGGATTCAAACCCGGGTCCCCAGAACATTATCTGGGTCTCTGGGCTAACAATCCAGTGATTAAAAATACAACGCCATCGCCTCCCATTAAATCATGAGGTGGGTGGGACAGCGCACAAGGGCTGTGGGGCGTTCCAGACCTATTGTTGCTATTCGCTGAAAAAGATCATCAGAGCATCACATGCAGGAATTACTATAGAAGTAATGACTACTTCCTGGCCATCACTACTTTTGCCCCTCTGTAACCCTCTCTTCAATTTCAACTGGATGGATTTCTTGCCTTGTGATATTGCTCCAGAGCAATAGAACAGCAGCTGTTCCAGTGAGACAGTTCGGTCTGAGATCGGGTCCTTGGTTTGTGGTGAATTAATAAATTGGATTCCAAGACTCCTGAGATCATCAGTGCCTTGAACCTGCCTCCATCATTTAGTTAGATCAGGATGAATCCATGTCACATCATACCGCTCAGTACTTTTGCCTAATGAAAGTCTAGTAACTGTTCAGTTTGGAAGCCCTACCAAATCTTTTCATTTGTTGTTTGATATTCCTTATATTACTGTTGTTGTGCATGTGATTTTTTTATGAGGCTTTGTCCATGAAAATTGCAAGGACAATTCTTAGTTACAAAGACTGCAACAGGAAACCGTGTTGTAGCATGCTCTCCATGAAGTGGTGGTCGGTCTATTACGACACTTGCCATGTGTCTCACTGGCGAGACCCCTTTCAATGCTTGAGGATTTCATGGGACTTTGGCTGGGGTTCTGGAGGGGTAGGACAGTAAGGCACTAACTGCAGCTCGAAGTTTGCAACCCCAAATTCTAGTCTGGGGCCGCGACCTGCAGTTTGGGAAGCTCTGGCCTTCAGGAACCTTTGCTGGATATGGTAAGGGTTTAAATTGCAGGGATGAAGCACTGCAGGGGAAAAGAAACACAAGAAACTCTAATAAAGGGAACACCTGCAAGGAGTGTCATTTTCCACAAAGCAGTTTACTGTCTTTTGAGTCTTTTTTTCTCCCCAGAAATGACAGGCCTCACATTATGAGCTAAAGCTGAGGTGGTTTCACCGTACATGTGTACCTGGAGGGCTTTGGCACATGAGACGCAAAGGAAGCCAGCTACGCTAAAGGGCCAGTGTTGGAGGATGAAGCTGGGTTAGGAGCTGGGGGTGGGGGCAGATGTATCTGAGGGAAGAGGATTCTCACACATTGTTCTTGCATTCCTTTTCACCATTAATTTCCATTAGCCTGCTGTAAATCAACCGAGACTTGCTGCAGGCAGTACAGCCAGTCACTAATCCCTCAAAGCTGCTTGGGAGAGGAGGTCGGGGGGGGAGTGGGTGAAGAGGGAAACAGAATTCTATTGTGTTCATTTACCCCAGCGTGCATTCTCTGACCATTTCTGTGCTGGCAGCAAGGTCCCAGGGGAATATGAAGTGTGTGTCCAGGTGCTGGTAAGTGGGGTGCAAGAGGAATATTGCATCTTCAACCTATCCCAGCAGCTGTGCCTGCGCAGAGAATTTTGGGTTTCATTACTGGTGCCTTTCAGCTGCACACTTGCACGGTTAAAAAGCAAGTGTTTCTGTCCCCTTCTGTGACACGGAGATGGTTCTCTTCAGTGATGTGTGTCAGCAACAGTAGGCAGTTTTCACTTTTTTTGTTCTTGCCTCGTAGAGTTGTACAGCACAGAAACAGACCCTTTGGTCCAACTCGTCCATGCTGACCAGATACCCTACTTAAATCCAGTCCCATTTGCTGGCATTTGGCCCATATCCTTCTAACCTTTTTCTATTCATGTACCCATCCAGATGCCTTTTAAATGTTAATTGTACCAGCCTCCACCACTTCCTCTGGCAGCTCGTTCCATACAAGCACCACCCTCTGTGTGAAAAAGTTGCCCCTTAATTCCCTTTTAAATCTTTCCCCTCTCACCTTAAACCTATGCCCTCTACTTTTGGACTCCCCTACCCTAGGATAAAGACCTACCTGAGTCTCATTTTACACGTCAGTGGTTGAGACTCCTTCAATCCTTCAAACCTATCCCAGCCCACAGCCCGAACTGGAAAGCCATGTTCTCTGTGGTCGTTGAAGCCACATGAATTTCCTCCAATTTTAGTGTGTGACGCCCTGCTGTTTATTCTTATTCACTAGCTGTCTTGGCTGGTGCTATTGTGGTACTAGGGCATCTGGGAGAAAATTTAAACATGCCATGTGCTTAAGATCTAGCTGGGCGTCTTCTGTCATTGCTGGTGTGATGTCACATTAGTCATGGATATACTGTGTTTAAAGGATATACTTTTTGGAGAAAAAACCCTGTCATGGGCACCGTTGGCAAGGGTAGTACTAGTTGCCTTCCTTAATTACCCTTAAACACAGTGGCTTGCTCGGCCATCTCAGAAGGCAGTTTGAGGTCAAGTGCACATGGTTCAGGTAAGGATGGCAGATTTCCATCCCTTAAACAACATTACTAAACCTGAAACAAAAACCGAAATTGCTGGAAAAGCTAAGCAGATCTGGTAGCATCTGTGAAGAGTAATCAGAGTTAACGTTTCAGGTCCAGTGACCCCTTCTTCAGAACTGATGGCAGCTAGGAAAACGATTTTTTTATGCAGAAAATAGGATGGAGGTAGGGAATAAGGAGTAAATGATAGGTGGGGATAGAGCCCAAAGAGAGAGATGCCCAGTTGGACAGACAAAGAAATGGATAATGATCTGGCTAGGAGGGTGAATAGCTATTAACAGAGACTGTTAGTGGCTAGCAATGGGGTTGTGTGTAATAGCAGACTGTGTGATAAAAAGTAGGAACAAATTACTGCAGATGCTAGAATCTGGACAGAAACAACAAATGCTGGAATCACACAGCAGGTCCGACAGCATCCGTGGAGAGAGAGCAAGCTAACGTTTCGAGTCTAGATGACTCTTCATCTGGACTTGAAACATTAGCTTGCTCTTTCTCCATGGATGCTGTCTGATCCACTGTGATCTGCAGTATTTGTTGTTTTCAGTATGTGATAACAAGGCCTGGTGTGGCGGGGTTTGGGAGAGCTCCAGCCCTAAATTTATTGAACTGGATATTGAGTCCAGAAGACTGCACAGTCCCCAGGTGGAAAGTGAGGCGCAGTTCTTCCAGCTTGCGCTGAGCTTTGCTGGAGCACTGCAGCAAGCCTGAGACAGAGATGTTGGCCAGCGAACAGAGTGGTGTGTTGAAGTGACAAGCAACTGGAAGCTCAGTGTCTTTTTCTTTGTGCGCACCCTGGATGGGTCTTTTCAACAGCTGGTGATAGTTTCATGGGCACCATTACTGGGACTAGATTTCAATTCTGGATTTATGAATTGAATTCAAATTCCACCTCCGACCGTGGTGAGACTTGAACCCAGAGTATTAGCCTAGCCGTGTCACCACGATGCTAACATCTCCCTTACCAGTTCCCTTTAACCCCCTGATTGGGTAGTTCGGTGGAGAAACAGACCGCATTGCAGAAAGCTTATAAATCACCAGTGTAGACAGACCAGGTCAGAAAGATAAAAACAAATCAGTAATTAGACATCAGAGGAGTAGGAAAGCTGACGTTTTGGGTCGAGACCCTAAACGTCAGCTTTCCTGCTCCTCTGATGCTGCTTGGCCTGCTGTGTTCCTCCAGCTCTACACCTTGTTGTCTCAGATTCTCCAGCATCGGCAGTTCCTATTCCCTCAGTAATTAGACATGGTCCTTTTCGGGAAAAAAAAATACATGACCGAGCGCGTAATGGGGCAGGGCCCTTTGTGCAGATGGTTAAAGCCTTTGCCCACAATGTGCCCAGGAGGTGTGCTGCTTTGTCAACAGATTTGAGCGGGTTGCTTCTTTCTCCTGTCAGCTCCTGCTTCAATGACGGAACCTGTATCGACGGCATCAATTCGTATACCTGCCGCTGCCAACCTGGCTTCACTGGTTCCAACTGCCAGTTCGATATCGATGAGTGTGACTCCAAACCGTGTCAGAATGGGGCCACCTGTGTCGACGGGCTGGGGGGTTACCGGTGCACCTGCCCTTCTGGCTACTCCGGTAACAACTGCCAGGTAAGGGTCCCCAGCGGAGCTGTGCGGCAGGGATGTTCTGCCTGCAAAGTCAAAGGTTAGCTGTCTGTTTTGTTGACAAGAGGTTGCCCCAGGGCTGATGTAAAATCCGATATGGTAGTCATGAAGAATGAAAGGGTTTCCATTTATGCAGCTTCTTTTACCCCCACCACCATCTAATATTCCAAAGCCTCTTGCAACCAACGAAGCTCTTTTGTGAAATGGAGCCCCAAAATATGGCAACCGATTTATGCTCAGCAAGGTCCTGCTTTTGTGGCCGTGACGCCATCCGTGTTCGATGTGCCTTCTGTGTTCAATGAATCTGGCATTGAGTTACTGAGAGGGGTGATTAATTAATAGGTTTCTTTGCAAGTGTTTATCTGAGAAAGCCACATGGCAAAGGATGATTCTGGAGCCTATTTTCACCTAAGTTTCGCGTTTATTTACGGATTTAAATGTTACCTGCAGACACCTAATTCAACCACAACTGTTTTAATAAAGAGTATCTTAATTAGTTTATATATTCTTTTTATCAACCTGTTCAGACCATTAGGTGGTCATCACATGCTGGTGTTGAACTTAAGCCCGTACCTTCTTTAAAACCCCTCCATATTTATTTTTAAATTACTTTTTAATCAACTTGTTTAGACATGCTAAGACACCTCTCCAGGGCAAATGGGACTTGAACCCAGACTTTTCAGCCCAGAGGTAGGGACACCATGACTGCATCATAAGATCTCCTTAGTGTCTCTTTAGGTATGTTCAAGTGAAATCTCAATCAGTGCCCATGACCCCCACACAATCCACATGCAGCCAATTGCAAGTCCTCATTACAGCATGGGGACGAATACCCTTGTTTAGTTTTGCTTGGATTTATTTGCACGCCAGGGTGTCCCTGTCATTTATTGGCTATCCCACACAGCTGTGATGAGCCTTCACTTGACATATCTGAGTGCCTTGCTCGGCTTCTTCAGAGGGCAGGGAAAAATTGACCATGACTGGAGATGTTCACGAAGAGTTTTATTTCCAGAATGAGCTGAATTTTTATGAGCAATCGAACAGCTTTGGGGTGCTTTTTCTTTTAAATGATATTGGCGTTTTAATTGTGGATTTCTTTAAACTGAACCCCGATCCTGAAGTAAAAACCAAAAGAATTGCGGATGCTGTAAATCAGGAACAAAAACAAAGTTGCTGGAAAAGCTCAGCAGGTCTGGCAGCATCTGTGGAGGAGAAAACAGAGTTAACGTTTCGGGTCCGGTGACCCTTCCTCAGAAGTTCGACCTGAAACGTTAACTCTGTTTTCTCCTCCACAGATGCTACCAGAC